ACCATCAATGTCTGCCAAAATAGGTATGTGAAATTCCATACGAACGCCACTGGTGGCAACAACAAAAAATGTGGTACGCTAACTGATGCCTCTTGATACATAGTACATGTATGCCAAATTTCATCAGAATATCTGAAGTGGTATTACAGATATTAATAAAAAACTATTAATTTTTGAGAACTTCACCACCCTGTATCTCAAAAGTTAGGATGTTTAGGTCATACGTTCATATGAAACTTTCTCTTTAGAATGGGCCCAAGAATTGCGTCCCCAAATATTGACATTCAATTAGGAAACACCCTGTATAATGGGTTTCACTAGGACATACTTGAACGTATACTCACTTCGAAATGGTCTTCACAAACAAATCCTCTGGTTTTCTCGGATAAATCATTTTTATTTATGGCTTGCAACCATAATTTTCTTTTCTCTTTATTTTTATCACTCGATCCCACTGGCAATGAAAGGAATATTTTTCCTGGTGATACTTTTGTTGATGAAAGGCATTGCGGCACTAAACAGTATTTGGTATAAACATTATCATTTTCCATTTTCAAATTTCAAATTTCTGGCGTTTAAAACTGTTTTCTTCTCATACCTCTTCTTCTTTTTTTTTTCAAACTGAATCTTGTCATTCTGTCGCGCTAGTCTATGGCTGTGCGGCCTAATACTATGACGTCATAATATTAGTGATGGCCACTAACCCGTTTTCCTGTGACTTCATATTTAGCCTCATTTAAATGAAATTTTTCAGAGTCACAAGCAAATTTGAGATTAATAAATGATATCCAATGTTATTATAAGGAAGAAGGAATATAATTTCGATTAAACAAAAAATCATGCGTATTCCTTATTGTTTTTGACAAGTTGAATATTGTAAATATGGTTTGTTAATCTCACATACAATTTGAAACATTTCGAACAAATATAAGGATTTTTTTTCTGAAATTGAACCTACCAATTCTGAAATACAACTTACCATTTCTGAAATTGAATGGACTTTTTCTGAAATTCATCTCACTGATTCTGAAATCGAGTATACCATTTCTGAAATTACTTTTTCCGAAATTGAAGTTGAAAAGGTATAGAACCTGAATTTGTCTCTGATTTATCACCAACTTTTCCAGTGTAGATTTGGAATTGATCTATACAGGGTGTTTCAGATTTAAATGTACAAATGATACCTGTAGATAGGGGAAACTTCGGTGGTTCCAATTCACCACCCATTGATATGTCTACCGTCTTTTATAAGTGAGATACAGGACGTTATCTTGATTTTGGCAAAATCTTCATGTGGTTATAACTTTTGAACCACTTTGTATAATTTATCCATACTTGGTAGAAATATTCCACTTATATTACCCATCGAAACCATATAAAAATATGGATCAGAATCCAGGTCCGTCTTGAGGAAAAACAGAAAACTTCTTTTATCTCAAAAACAACACCTTGTATGGCAAAATTTTGTAGGTCTGTTTTGATATTTGGAAAGAGCGGAAAAAAATTAAATAAGTGACCTACTTTTTACGAGTGCGCATCTAGTTTGACAGATGTTTTATTATCAAGTTTTGGAATATTCAGCTCCATTTCGAGGCATTTTTATTGAACTTATAATCCAAAATTCAATTTTAATACAATAAAATAACAGTCTTCAAAGTTCAACATCATTATAGTCAAATTAGGTGAACTATCGATAGATTTGTTGTGACACAATCATTTGTCTATGGTATCATACATTTTTGAGGGCTCATTTTATTCTCCACTAATTCACGAGCTGCGGTAAGTAGGCTGTGCAAAAAAATCTGACAGGTCATAATCACTAGTGTGATATTATTGGTAATGTTGAGATAATTATTTCTGGTGCTTGTATTGGGTTGTTACATTTCAAAGTGTTCATAATTGTGCCTACAATAACTTTACCAATAATATCGCAACTATAGTGATTATGAACTGTCAGAATTTTCATTTTTTCTGCACAGCCTACTTTACCGCAGCTTATGAATAAATAGTAAAGTATAAAATGAGTCCTCGAAAGTTTTTAAAATCATCGTCAAATTATTCTGTCAATCAAACAATATCGATAGTTCACCTGTTTGATTCTAATGATGTTGAACTTTGGAGACTGTTATTTTTCTGTATAAAAATTGTGTTTTGAATTATGAATTCAATAAAAATGCCTCGAAATGGAGCTGAATATTTCAAAACATGATAATAAACCATCTTTCAAATTGGATGCGCACTCGTAAAAAGTAGGTCACTATTCATTCATTTTTTCCCGCTCTTTCCAAATATCAAAACCGATCAATAAAATTTTGCCATACAGAGTGTTGTTTTTGAGATAAAAGAAGTTTTCGGTTTTTCCTCAAGACGGACCTGGATTCTGATCCGGATTTTCATTTGGTTTTCATGGGTAATATAAGTGAAATATGTCCACCAAGTATGAATATTGAATAGATTATACAAAGTGGTTCAGAAATTATAACCAGATGAAGATTATGCCAATATCAAGATAACGTCCTGTATCTCAGTTATAAAAGACGGTAGACATATCGATAGGGGGTGATTTGGAACCACCGAAGTGTCCTCTATCTACAGGTATCATATGTACATTTAAGTCTGAAAGACCCTGTATATCCACTTTCTGAGGCACGCACCCAAACTTTGTACCCACGCTTTATCGGCTTGTTAGGCATGTATTGGCGTAAGGAAGACCGTCCCTTGAATGTAATCATTGATTCATCAACAGAGATATTCCTTGATGGTTTGTAGAATTTGGTAAAATTTTCGGACAATTCATTCAAAAGCGGTCGTACTTTGTATAGCTTGTCGTAGCCAAGATCTCCATGTTTGGGCTGCAAAGCATTATCATTCAAATGTATATTTCCTAATAACCAATCGAATCTTGTCCTCGGCATGAGTTGTGATATATAGTCATCTCTTAGTTCAAATTTAGTTGATCAAAAATCTCTGTAGCTCGGTAATTTTTTCACAATATTAACGAAACATCTGAGGAAAAGTGTTGATAACAGAGTTAACGCACTTGAAAAAATACAAGAATGAGTGCTTACAAAAAATTACTCAATGTTCTCACAATATCAATGAAACCCCTGAGAAAAATTGTTGTTGTTAACGCACTTAAATAAGAAAAAAATACCAAAAGCGTGCTTTTGAAAAATCACTCAATTTTTTCACCGTACCAATGAAACTCCTGGGAAAAAGTATTAATTGCAGAATTAACTCACTTGAAAAAACATAAGTGTTTTCGTAAAATTTCGATTGTTTCACAATATTAATTAAACACTTGATAAAAAGTGTTGATTACAAAATTAACACACTTGAACAAACACAAATTGGTGCTTTGGAACATGGATTTTCTTACAATATTAACGAAACACCTGAGAAAAGTGTTGATTACAAACTTAACGCACTTGAAAAATAAAAATTCACAAATGAGTGCTTTAGAAGAAGAGTTCCTGGATCATCTTACAATATTAATGAGACACCTGAGAAAAAGTGTTCATAAGAAAGGTAACCTACCTGAAAATAAAACGCAAAAAACAGCTTATGAAAAATCACACCATATTTTTTACACTAATATGAAAACATTGTAGAAAAAGTGTTGATTGCAAAGTTAACTCACTCAAAAAAAAATTAGTGCTTCCGAAAAATTACTAGATATTTTCACAATATCAACGAAACACCTGAGAACAAGTGTTGATATCACAAAATTTTAACGCACTTGAAAAATAAGACATAAATGAGTGCTTAAGAAAAATTACTCGATAATCTTACAATATTAATGAAACACCTGAGAAAAAGTGTTGATTAAGAGGTTGACAGTATTGAAAAAAACAAATAAATGCTGAAAAGGAATATTCTCAGATAAATTATGAACATACAAAAATGGATATATATTTATATAAAGCAATACATTGAGAATTCGCATTCTCTATGTGATGGGAATATTTACTCTTTCTCAGTTGATTCAATAGAAAACAACTACTTTCCTGGCTATATGCCACGACGAACATTGAATTATATCTATTGAACACACACGATAAGAGTTTGAAAATAAAGTATAAAAACTTCTGAAATTGAGAATTGGCATTCTCTTTCAGATAAAAATATTTGTATATGCACACATCATTCTGAATATTCAACAGAAAACAACTACTTTAAAAAATTACTCGATGTTGAAATACACAAATGAGTGCTTTAGAAGAGTTACTGGATCATCTTACAATATTAATGAGACACCTGAGAAAAAGTGTTGATTAGAAAGGTAACCTACCTGAAAATAAAACCCAAAAAACAGCTTATGAAAAATCACACCATATTTTTTACACTGATATGAAAACACCGTATGAAAAGTGTTGATTGCAAAGTTAACTCACAAAAAAAATGAGTGCTTCCGAAAAATTACCAGATATTTTCACAATTTCAACGAAACACCTGAGAAAAAGTGTTGATATCACAAAATTTTAACGCACTTGAAAAATAAGACACAAATGAGTGCTTAAGAAAAATTACTCGATAATCTTACAATATTAATGAAACACCTGAGAAAAAGTGTTGATTAGGAGGTTGACAGTATTAAAAAAAAACACAAATAAATGCCTTTAAAAAATTACTCGATGTTAAAATACACAAATGAGTGCTTTAGAAGAGTTACTGGATCATCTTACAATATTAATGAGACACCTGAGAAAAAGTGTTGATCAGAAAGGTAACCTACCTGGTAATAGAACCCAAAAAACAGCTTATGAAAAATCACTCCATATTTTTTACACTATTATGAAAACACCGTAGAAAAAGTGTTGATTGCAAAGTTGACTCACTAAAAAAAAAAATGAGTGCTTCCGAAAAATTACCAGATATTTTCACAATATCAACGAAACACCTGAGTACAAGTGTTGATATCACAAAATTTTAACGCACTTGAAAAATAAGTCACAAATGAGTGCTTAAGAAAAATTACTCGATAATCTTACAATATTAATGAAACACCTGAGAAAAAGTGTTGATTAGGAGGTTGAAGGAATTGGAAAAAAAAACACAAAGAACCGCCTTTGAAAAATTACGAGATTTTCTTACAATATTGAAAAAAAAAGACGTATTAAATGTATAAACCATTCCCTAATTCCGCCTTCTGGGCATCCTCCGCCCTCTGTATAGCCTCCAACTCTGCGCCCCTCCTCCTATGCTCCTCCGCTATCTTCTCGTACAGCGCGAGATGCCTCTCTCTTGCCCCCTGCACTGCCTTCGTCTCGGCCGGCACGACTGCCCGATTTGGTCCCGCTTGATGCGCGTGCGCGATGGCTTCGAACCGGCGCAGGTGGTTGGCCTTGGCGGCAGCGACAACGGGAGTGTCTGAAGGCAGGTCCGGCGCGCGGAAATTTTGGGAGGGGTGGAAGCCGTTTTTGTCGGCGGTGTACTCGACGGTGCGGATTCGTTGGCTGGGGTCCACGTAGGAATATGAACCTGGAATGCAGAGAGATAGATAGATAGATAGATAAGGGGAAGTTTTCATGGCTGTTCTATAGATTACTAGCTGACCCGGCACACGTTGTTTTGCCATAACATTATTTCTACAAAAAATGTTTTCACATAAATATTTATCAAAGAACTTTCATTATTTTATTTATAATTCTTTTTAGTTCGGCTATCTATGAAAACGGGATTCTTTAGTTTTTCAAACTATTTTACTTATTCTCTACTTCTTTTTAGTTCGGCACTCTATATATATATCTCTTCATTTTTTCATTTATTTACTACTCACTTCTTTTAAGTTTGGCTCTCTATAAAAACATGTTTCATTAGTTCTAGAAACTACTATTTATTACAATAGTTTTTTAGTTAAATATTCATCAACACACTTTTATTATTTTGTTTTGAACTTCTTTTCAGTTTGGATATCCATGAAATCGTGTTTCATTATTATTTCAAACTACTATATTTTGATTTTCTACTTCTTTTTAGTTCGACAATCTATCTCGTTTTCTGAACTATACAATCAATTTTCTACTTCTATTCAGTTTGTCCTCGAGTTTGGCTATCTATAAAAACGTGTGTTTCATTATAGTTTTTCAAACTACTATTTATTACAAAGTTCTTTCACCATATTGGATCCGCCATCTTGAATTTCCCAATTTTAAAGAATTAAGTCATAATCTCCGACCCCGAAAACCCCCAGATACAGATTTTGAATAGAATCGGATCATAATTACGCCGCTATATTGGATCCTCTATCTCCAATTTCCTCATTTTGATAAAAGAATCATAATCTCCGACCCAAAAATCATCCAGATACAAATTTTGAATGGAATCGGATCATAGTTACAAAACTCGCCCGTAATATTGGATCCGACATCTTGAATTTCCAAATTTTGACAAAAGAATCATTATCTCCGACCCCGAATACCACCCGATACCAATTTTGAATAGAATCTGACCATAATTACAAAACTCGTCCGCCATATTGGATCCGCCATTTTGAATTTCCAAATTTTGACGAACGAACTATAATCTAAGACCATGAAAACCCTCAGATACTAACTTTGAATATAAGTTTGATGAAAAATCATAATCTCTGACCTCGAAAACCCCCAGGTACCAATTTTAAATGGAATCTGACCATAATTACAAAACTCGTCCGCCATATTGGATCCGCAATTTTGAATTTCCTAATATTGATGAAGAAATCATAATCTTCGACCTCGAAAACTCCTAGATACCAATTTTGAATGGAATCTGGTCATAATTACAAAACTCGTCCGCCATATTGGATCCGCCTTCTTGAATTTCCTAAATTTGACGAAAGAATCATAATCGCTGACCCCGAGAACCCCCAAATACCAATTTTGAATCAAATCGGATAACAATACTCGCCCGTCATATTGGATCCGCCATATTGGATCCGCCATCTTGAATTTCCGATTTTAAAAATAGATTACGATTACCTACCGGATACGCACAAAAAATAACATACGAATCGGTCGAGCCATTTCGGAGGAGTTCGACCACTAACACCGTGACCGGGACAGGAGAATTTTATATATTAGATATTATTGGGATTATTCGTGGGAAGCAGTCGAATGTGACCAATATTCTTCGTTTTTTGTCGAGCTTTCGAAAATATTCATTTTTTTTATCAAGACTTTCTAGAACATCGAATGAGCAATAATCTAATATGTATACAGTGAGCGGCAATATCATGGAACAAATTCATTTAAAAGTCAGGCCTGTGTTTCTTGGGAATACGCTCCTGCGGTAGATTCATTTATACAGGGTGGCTCAAAAATAAGTTACGATGATCAACTTAATTTATTTAAATGGAAAAACTTATTTTTTATTTAATTTTCGAATTTGGCGTAAAATTCTAAGTATGTTTCATGTATCGCATCATTGAAATTGAACAGTTAAGTATCGTACTGCTGAATACATTATTGATAGACCTTTCAATGAGGTATTACAAGACCCACATTTCAATTGAAAAATATCAACGATGACGTCACCGTGTCAAAACTGGTGACATCATAATTTTTACACAATTAATAAAAAAATCGCTATTTAAAATTGAAAATCGACCTATTTGTGACCCAAAAAAGAGTTACGATCATCATTTTCATTTTTTCAAACCATTTTTTGTTCAATTTCAATGATGCGATACATGAAACATACTTAGAATTTTACGCCGAATTCAAAAATTGAATGAAAAATAAGTGTTTCCATTTAAAAAAATTAAGTTGATCATCGTAACTTATTTTTGAGCCACACTGTATCAAGACTTTTTAATGAATTTGTTCCATAATATTGCCGCTCACTGTATAAAATTCTCCTGTCCCGGTCACGGTGTTCGTGGTCGAACTCCTCCGAAACGGCTCGACTGATTCGTATGAAATTTTGTGTGAGTATTCGGTAGGTATGAGAGTCGGTCGTAATCTATTTTTTAAATCGAAAATTCAAGATGGCGGATCCAATATGGCGGATGAGTATTGTTATCCGATTTCATTCAAAATTGGTATACATGGGGGTTTACGGGGTCGGAGATTATGATTCTTTTGTCAAAATTTGGAAATTCGAGATGGCGGATCCAATATGGCGGACGAGTTTTGCAATTATGATCGGATTCTATTCAAAATTTCATCGATGTACATTCATATATTAACACTAGCTGACTCGACAAACGTTGTTTTGCCATAATATTATTTCTAGAAAAAATGTTTTTACATAAATATTTATCAAAGAACTTTCATTATTTTATTCATACTTCTTTTTAGTTCGGCTATCCATGAAAACGGGATTCTTTAGATTTTCAAACTATTCTACTTATTCTCTACTTCTTTTTAGTTCGGCACTCTATATCTCTTAATTTTTACATTTATTTACTACTCACTTCTTTTTAGTTTGGCTATCTATAAAAACGTGTTTCATTAGTTTTTCAAACTACTATTTATTACAATAGCTGATGCTGATACCTGGCACACGTTGTTTTGCTATATACATTTTCTTCTAGAAAATATTTTTCCAGTTAAATATTCATCAGCACACTTTTATCATTTTGTTTCGAACTTCTTTTTAGTTTGGATATCCATGAAATCGTGTTTCATTAATATTTCATTTTCACTTCTATTCAGTTTGGCCTCGAGTTTGGCTATCTATAAAAGCGTGTTTCATTATAGTTTTTCAAACCACTATTTCTTACAAAGCTCTCTCATCATATTGGATCCGCCATCTTGAATTTCCTAATTTGAAAGAATAAAATCATAATCTCCGACTCCGAAAACCCCCAGATACAGATTTTGGATAGAATCAGATCATAATTACAAAACTTGTCCGCCATATTGGATCCGCCATCTTGAATTTCCAAATTTTGACAAAAGAATCATTATCTCCGACCCCGAAAACCACCCGATACCAATTTTGAATAGAATCTGACCATAATTACAAAACTCGTCCGCCATATTGGATCCGCCATTTTGAATTTCCTAATTTTGTTGAAATGTCATAATCTCTGACCTCGAATACCCCCAGATACCAATTTTGAATGGAATCTGGTCATATATAATTACAAAACTCGTCCGCCATATTGGATCCGCCATTTTGAATTTACAAACTGATGAAATAATCATAATCTCCGACCCCGAAAACTCCCAAATACCAATAATTCTCTTCCGCCATATTGAATCCGCCATCTTGAATTATCGATTCAAAAAATAGAGTACGACCGATTCTCATACCTACCGAATACGCACAAAAAATTTCGAACGAATTGGTAAACATTATTTCTAGAAAATATTTTTTTAGTTAAATATTCATCAACACACTTTTGTTATTTTATTTTCTACTTCTTTTTAGTTTGACTATCACTATCCATTTTCTACTTCTTCTTGATTCGACAATCTATCTCTTCAGTTTTTAAACTATACCATCAATTTTCTACGTCTTTTCAGTTTGGCCTCGTTTGGCTATCTATTGAAACGTGTTTCATTATAGTTTTTCAAAATTATATTTATTACAAAGCTAGTTCGTCATATTGGATCCGCCATCTTGAACATCCCAATTTTGAAGAAAACCCCGAAAACCCCCAGATTCAAAAATTTTGAATACGTATCATATAATCACAAAACTCGGCACCATATTGGATCCGCCATCTTTTATTGCCTAATTGTTACGTTGGAAACATAATCTCTGACCCCGAAAATACCAGATACCAATTTTGGATAGAATTGGATCATAATGTTCGCTATATCGGTTCCGCCATCTTAAATTTCTCAATTTTGACGAAAGAATCATAATCTCCTACCACGAAAACCCCCATCAGTTACTGATTTTTAATAGAATTTGAACATAGTTACAAAACTCGTCCGCTAAATTGGATTCGCCATCTTGAATTTCCAAATTTTGATGAAAGAATTATAATTTGCAACCCCCAGATACAAATTTTGAATGGAATCGGATCATAATTACAAAAAACTCGCCCGCCATATTGGATCTCCCATCTTGGATTTCCAAATTTTGATGGAAGAATCATTATCTCCGAGTCCTAAAACCCCCAGATACCAATTCTGAATAGAATCTGATCATAATTGAAAAGCTGGTCTGTGATATTACATCCGCTAAAACTCGTCTGCCATATTGGATCTGCCATTTTGAATTTCCAAATTTTGACGAAATAATCATAATCTCCGACTCCGAAAACCCCCAGATACCAATTTTGAATAGAATCGGTCCATAATTGAAAAACTCGTCTGCCATATTTTTGACGAATAAATCATAATCTTCGACCCCGAAAATCCCCAGATACCAATTTTGAATATAATCGGACCATAAATAAAAAAACTCGTCCGCCATATTGGATCCGCCATTTTGAATTTCCTAATTTTGATGAGGAAATCATAATCTCCGACCTCGAAAACCCCCAGATACCAATTTTGAATAGAATCTTACCATAATTACAAAACTCGTCCGCCATATTGAAA